TTTAAAATTTAATAATTTAGTTAGTTTTATTTTTTGTTTTTAATGTATCAAAAGGTAGAGGTCATTACCATGTAACTTTAAGAAAAGATCAAGAAAAAGAAAATAATAATATTTCCTTCCCTTTACACCAGATGTTTACATTTTTCAATAAGGCATCATTCATTCATCGTATAGTAGTAGTAGTAGTAGTAGTCGTAGTCATTCGATAACATTCATTCCTCTATCATTTCATCTTCTTCCTCCTCTTTTTCCTCCTCCTTTTCCTCCTCATTCCTTCATCTTTTCCTTTTTCCATCTTCATCTAACATTTTCCATTCATTCATTCATTCATTCTCTTTTGTCCTCAATAATATTTTTTTTCTTTTTTTTATTCACCAAACACATCTCATTCAATTCTTTTTTTAATTTTACATTTTTGACGAAAATTTAATTCGTATTTATAAATTAATTGATTTTATAATATATAATTTAAATTTTTCAAAATAAATATTAATTTTTTAATAAATTCGAATTTGGCATTTTTTTCCATTCGTTTTTATTCATTCATTCAAAATAGGAATTATTAAAATATTGAAAATACATACATTTAATGTATATCTTTTATCAAAAAAAAAAAATAATAATAATAATTTTTTATTTTTAAGAAAAATTTAATTTGCATTTATAAAATTAATTAATTTTTGTGTTATATAATTTAAATTTTTAAATAATTGCTAATCCTTCAATAATTTTTAATTTTTTTTTCGTTTATTTTTATTTATTTTACATAAATTATTAATAAATAACGTATATATATATATACATACATATATATATAATCTACAATAATCATCAAATATAGATGATTACAACGATGACAAACAATCTGATTACTAATACAATCATCATCATCATCATCAACGTCATCATCAATCCTATTGGTGGTGCTTTTATCAATGTTCCTATTACCGCCTATTGCTAGTCCTATTGTTGTTGTTGTTTTTGTTGCTGTTGTTGTTGTTGTTATTGTTGTTGTTGTTGTTGTTTTGTTGTTGTTGTTGTTTTTGTTATTGATTGTTGATGGTTGATGATATTTGAGGATTATTTTGTTTACAATTGTCACTTATTGTAAATATTTTCCAATATATATTACTGGCCTGAAATTATTATTACTAATTGCTTGGCTAGATTTATTAGCCTAAAATTATCATTCTTCTAAATTAATATCTATTATTGATAAGATATTATTTACATCTTGTTTTAAGGTATTTTCTTTAGGAAGTATAAAAATCAATAAGTTAGTCCTCCTATTCAATGATATTTGAAAATCTAATTATTATTATTATTATTATTATTATTATTTTTTAATTGTTATTATTTATTGATCAATTAATTAATTAAATAATTAATTAATTTACTCACTTATTCATTTATTCATTCATTTTTTCACTTATTTATTTATTTATTTATTTATTAATCATTTATTTATTATTTATTATTATTATAAATTATCTGTTAAGCTTTTTTATAACTATTCATTGTATTAACAGGAAATTTGGAGAGGTCCGGTTTTCCGAAATATTACAAAATTGTATGATAATAATTCGGCAATTTCGTAAATGCATCCGAAACATTCAAGTATTTTTGTAAGAGAAACAAAATAAGATTGACGTTTATTTGATTGGTTGACGAAAGGTATGAGTCATTCGAGCTGTCAAAAGTTTAGATAGTAGCCAAATCTGAAAGGAATTTTCTTTCATTTGTATATTTTGAGGCCTAAAGCTTGCTGAATTTAAATCTCAAAGTTTAGCAAATTTCATTATTGAATTACTATAAGTAATATATATTAATTGATAATGAAAAATCTGGATAATTTCTTTTTTTTTTAATTTTTTGTGAATTATATTTTAATGTATCATTCTTTTTCCATCTCCAGAATGTTACTTTTTGTTTTGTTTTTATGCTTTTGTAATTGTTATTTATCATATTCCATTAATCAAATACTTAAATTAGAATTGGAAATCTCTTCGTTTACCCATTAGTGTTATGTCAATTTTAAGAAAAATATTATATTATTGATATCATTTTTTTTTCCTTTTTTCAATTCACTAATATTAAATTAAGAATTGATTATTTTTTAATTTTAATTTTGATGCATACTTTATTAATATCATTGAATTCTTTTGTTATTAATTGAGGAAAATTAAATTAATTTATCAATTCTAAAATTATTATTCATTTAGTTGGATAATTGATAATTGAATTAGTGAATTTTATTAAACCTTTGCAAAAAAAGAAAAAAGAAAAAATGATTCTTTGATCAATCCGAAACAAATTACTTTGTGTTTGTATTCTAATGAAATATGTTAGAGGCGAAATTAATTTTTTTATTTTTATTTTTTTTTTTTTGTTAAAAATTTTTCGTAGGTTT